GCAGAGAAAGCCTTTGACAAAATTCACCACTTATTAATGATAAAAACATTGAAGAAATCTACCTTATCATCATAAAGGCTATATACCAAAAGCCCCAACCAACATCATAGTGAATGGGGAAGAACTGAATGCATTTCCTTTAAAATCTGTAACACGTCAAGGATGTCCATTCTCACCACTCCTATGTAATATAATACTAGAAATTCTAGCCAGAACAATTAAGCAAGAGGAGAAAATAAAAGGGATTCAAATAGGAGGAAAAATCATTCAAATTACCACTGTTTGCAGATGATAAGATCTGATACTTAGAAGATCCAAAAAGTCCTACCAGCAACATAGTTTACAAAAATCAGTAGCTTTCCTACATAACAACACTGAATCTTCTGAGAAAGTAATGAAGAAAATAATCCCATTCATAATAGCCTCAAAAACTAAAATAAAATACTTAGGAATAAATCTAACCAAGGAGGTGAAAGACCTCAACAATGAAAACTACAGAACACTGAAAGAAAGAAATTGAAAAAGATACAAGAAGGTGGAAAGACCTCTCATATTCATAGATAGACAGGATTAATATTGTTAAAATGGCCATACTACCAAAAGCAATACAGATTCAATCTCTATCAAAATATCAATGACATTGCTCACAAAACTAAAAAAAAAAAAAAGTTGTAAAATGCATTTGGAGGAATAAAAGACCCAGAATAGCCAAAGAAATTCTAAACCAAAAAAGTAATGCTGGAGGCATCACAATACCAATAATATAATTCAAATTATACTCCAGAGGTATCATAACAACATAAAATGGCTCCAACATAAAAATAAATACATAGACTAATGGAACATAATAGACTAATGGAACATAATAGAAGTCACAGAGACAAACCCATACAGATATAGTCATCTAATCCTTGACAAGAGTGCCAAATATCAAATTGGAGAAAAGAGACTTTTATAACAAATGGTACTAGGAAAAACTGGTTATCCATATGTAGAAAATTAAACTAGAACTTTATCTGGTTATCCATATGTAGAAAATTAAACTAGAACTTTATCTGGTTATCCATATGTAGAAAATTAAACTAGAACTTTATCTTTCATCCTGCACAAAAGTCAACTCAATGTATCAAAGACCTTTGTAACTCCTAGAAGAAAATAAAGAATCAACACTCCAACGCACAGCCATAGGCTAGGACTTTCTCACTAGGATTGCTAAAGCTGAGGAAATAATGCCAAGAGTTAACAAATGAAATGGCATCAAATAAGAAAGCTTCTGCACAGCAAACAAAACAATTAGGAATGTGAAGAGAGAACCTACAGAATGGGAGAAAATCTTTTCTAGTTGCTCTTCTGACAGAGTATAAATATCTGCAATATATAGAAGCTGAAACAAAACAAAACACACAAAAAAACCCCAAATAATCAAATTAATAAATGGGCAAATAAAATGATACTTCAAAAAAGAAGAAGTACAAATGGCCAACAAATAAGTGAAAAAAAAATGTTCAACATCTTTAGCAATTAGGGAAATGAAAATCAAAACTACACTGAGATTATTCATCTCACACTAGTCAGAATATCAGTCATCGCAAATACAAACAATAAATGCTGGAGAGGTTGTGGGGGGAAAGTAATATTTTTACATTGTTGGTAGGATGGTAAATTAGTACAACCCTATGGAAATCAATATGGCAGTTCCTCAAAAATCTAGGAATGAAAACACCATATGACCCAGCTATACCAGTCCTTGGTATTTATCCTAAAGAATTAAAGTCATCATACTATAGTGATACTTCATACCCATGTTTATAGTAGCACAATTCAAAATAGCCAAATTATAATACTAGCCTTGGTGTCCATCAGTGAATGAATAGGTAAAGAAAATGTGGTATGTATATCCAATGGATTTTTAATCAGCCCAAAGAAAAATGAAACCATGTCATTTGCAAAAAAAAAAAAAAGGATGGAACTTTAGAGCAATATCTTAAGCAAAATAAGCCAAGGTCATATGTTTTCTCTCTTATGCAGAAGGTCAAGACAAAAAAGGAAACGAAAAGTGTGTGTATGTAGGAGTGTGGATCTCATGAAAATAAAAGGGAAATCAGTAGAATAGAAAAAAGGGGAAGGAGGAGGGAAGAGAAGAGGAACTACTAGGAATGATATTGGTCAAATTATATTGTTAATATGTATCAAAAAATCCCACCATTATATACAACTACAATGTACAAATAGAAAAATATGAAGAAAAAATATATCATCTAGGAGGTAAACTTTCTGAGTTTTGGCATATTTCAAAATGTCTTGGTTCTGCCCTGGCCCTAATTGACAGTTTCAGAATGACTTTCTCCAATTTCAGTTTCCAAAGGCAAGCATTTCAAACTGTACTGCAGTATGTTTTGATATTTACATCTGAATCTTTGAATAACTTGCTTATTGAGTCATTTCCTCATTTTTAAGTTTTAGGTTAGGCTCTACAGAAGATAAAAACTTAGTTCCTTTTGTGTGTGTGTGTGTGTGTGTGTGTGTGTGTGTGTGTGTGTGTGTGTGTATTGACCTGGGGATTGAACCCAGAGCCTTGTGCATGCAGGGCAAGCACTTTGCCAATTGAGTTATATCCTCAGCCCAAGTTTCTTTTCTTTTTAAACCACCATTTTCTCTCATATTCGCTTCCTCTCATCCTCCTAAATAGGGTCTCACTATGATAACTTTGATGATTTCATTATTCAATAATTTCATTATCATGACTTTATAGGTGCTATTCATAACTGAGCTAAATAATGTTTCCTTTCTAGCACTTTTTTTTGTTTTTCTTGCATTGAGTAATTTTTAAATTTTTGTTTAGTTTTCTGTTTGTGATATATAGTCATAGTCTAAATTGCCTTTCAAAATATTCAAGCGCATCAAGTATTCCATTCATTTTACTTGAGGTTTCTCTCCTACATCCTTTTAATAAACTCCATTTGAACTTAACTGTTCTCAAGATGTGTGAAGTAGCTATGATATTAGATTCTTTTTTCATCTTCATTCTGAGCATTTTCTTTACCTCTCATTTAGGTTTGATCACCCATTTTTTTCCATAGACACTTAAATTTTTATTTGAGTAATCACTCAACATATTCATACATAAAATGGGTGACTGCTTTAAAGCTTTTGAACAAAAACAATATATACTTTATCAAAATACTTTAATAGTACAAAAGTATATCCATATATATATAAATAGGATCTAGACGAAATGGCAAGCCTTTTGTAATAATTCTGATGGCATTGATTGAGAATGAGTTGCTAGAAAACTGATGGCATAAGGATCTAACTTTGAAAATTTCTCCCCAGTTTGCCTAAAAGTATGCATGCGTAACACAGGCAGTTACAAATAAATATAGATTTATCTACCAAGTGCAGTGTCTCCAGGAAACAAAAGGAAGAGAGGGATTCTTATCTTTAAAATAATCCTCTAATGCTATTTGCAACTCAAGCACTGGCCTTCCAAAGGAATGTGGTTGGTTCACTTGATAGTTGTGAGGGCCACAAGATTCCTTGTTCTTGGTATTCTTTATGCAGCTGCCTTATTTCTGCAGTGGAGGTCCCAGGGGTTTAATGAGGTTTTTAAAGAAACACCTAATTATGTAGCCACTTGATCATCCATTTTATGAAGCATACGATTCTTATCTTTTTTCCCTCTTATTTTATTGGAGCACCTCTTCTGGTAACCTCCAGGAAAGATGGACAATTACTTACTATTCTGTTTATAGTTGTAAGTTTATGCCATTAAATACATTTCATTTATTGACTTCTTCCACTAGCATAGACCTCTGTTGAAAATCCAGGAGGGCTAGGGATGAATCAGAGGTGAATTGAGCTTTACTGGGACTCTAATCTCATTTTGCATGGTTCCAAACTGGGTTTAGATGATCATCCATCATTCAGTTTACGTGGTAGAGGAAGGGTCTTTAAATAGTCTTTATAGGTCAATAACATCATCTATAACTTCTAAATTTTTTAAATGAAAAATACTTTTAACAAAAAATTACAAGACATTGCCACCTAAATCCAATATCTGGGTTACCGATAGGACTGAAAAAATAACAGCCCTATAGGTATCCCAAATATTAGGGTTAGGTGGCAATGAATTTTAAACAATTGTGATTAATATATTCAGAAAAATAGAGATTTATAAACTATATAAAAGAATCAAGTGGTCTAGTATAAAGTTCATTGGTATACTAATTCTAGTAAAGTTCAAGTATAAATTCCATTGTTTAAAATTAACAGTCTAGATAGGTTTACCAGTAGATTAGTCACCAAAAGAAAGAATTGGTGAACTGGAAGTCAGTTCAGGAGTAAAAGAAAAAAATGGAAGGTAGAGAAGAGAGTCTATCAGAGACATGTGAGACTCAGGGAAAAGATCTAAAATATAACTGGAATCCAAGAAGGAAAGAAGAGCCAATTGGAGAGAAGCAGTATTTAAATAGAATAATGGTCAAAAGTTTTTTTGAAAGACATCAAGTACAGATTTAAGAAACTCTGAAAACCCCAAACCGTATTAAAATATATAGGAAATCTTACGCAGGGTACTTTTTCTTAGAGTTAGGAAAAAGAATGTCTTTTATAGTATGGAGTAGTTAATATGGTGGCAGGCTAATAATCACCTTTTCCATTTCTCCTTAAAATAATTTATTTTTCATATTTCCCAGTAAAGAATTTAATAGTTGCATTCTTATAGTTTCTGCTAATAAACATAGCACCTAATGCTTTCTAGGTTATCTAAAAGTTAGATTCTAGTGGAACAATATTCACACCAGTATTGTTCTCTAGATGAGATTCTAAATGCCACATAATTTATTATATATGGCATTTATAAATGCCACTGGGATACGTTTCTTAGCTTATTTTCTGCTGCTATCATAGTCTATCACAGTTTGATTAATTAATAAAGAAAAGACACTTTTCTATTTTTAAAAATGAATTAAAACTTCCAATTTTTCTTTAAAAAATTTTAGAGATTACCAAGGGAAAAATTAAGAGAAAGAGAAAAGACAAAAAGAATAAATGGAAAAGAGAAGGAAAGGTAAGTGATTGTGACTAATTTAAATAAAAATAAGATTGACTGCTGTAGGATACTGTTCTTTCTTATTGATCAAAGAGCACAGAATCTGCAGGGTATTTTGAAGATAGATATAAGGTAAAGAATGGTTAACATGTTGGTGCTAAAGTAACAGTGCCTTTTTCCTTTTCTTCAGATATTCAGAAAACTATATACATAATTAAAACCCTAAAACTGCAAATCTTTTAACTTTAAAATTAAATTAATTTTAATTTTTCATTTTATTTTGCCTTTTAGTTTTGATGTTATAAAGTGGTTATAAAATGCATATTTACTTTGAGAAAAGTTCATGGAAAAATTCCAAGTAGCAGCTTTTCCCTCCTATTTGAAGATCTCCCTGGGGCCTAGCATTTTGGTTTCTCAGGGCTGTCTGATAAGGAAGTTGTCATGCTGCTTTGTTTGTTATGTTAGTCAGAAGCAGCAGATGGAATTCTATACCTACTCTTATATTAATGAGTAGAGGAAAGTTCTATTTGGGTTTGAGATATTTGATCATCCCCAAGTTGGCTAAACTAGATGGAGATCTTTAAGAATCTTGATTAATCAAATCTTCCAACAGGTTCTTGTCGAATTGTTGAAACTTCACTGAAGTCCTTAGATCTAAGAAAGATCACCAGCAATTGGTCCTACATCAGTGACTATAGGATCTACCCTTTTCTGCCCTGAATTGCCTCAGGACCTAATGGCACTGAAACAGCCTGAACTTAGAACACAGGTCCCTGGATCAGATCTGTGTTGTGGTAATTTTTTGCTCCCAGGAGCAAAGACATCTGGAATTGGTGGATTCTGGAAGCAGATGGTTCCTTGCTGAAAAGCAGAAAATCTCCAGACAGTTTCATATTAGGTCCCAATTTGTCTATTAAGGATAAACCATTCATTAACATGTTTTCTTATATAGATGGTCCCTGGTTAACTCTGGTTCCCTTCATTTTGTAAAAAGTTATGAAGATTCTAGGGTTGTTTGCTACTATATGCTAATATAACTTACCCTGTCTGATACATTTGATTTGGTTATAATATCATTTGTATTGTTAATTTCCTGCCTTTTTCTATCAATTAAAAAGATAAGATTTAAAATCTTCCTTATGATTATGGAGTTCTCGTAAAGTTTTCAATGTTTGCTTATATTTTGAAGTTCTTTTAAATGAATTTAAAATTTGAATGATTAAGTCTTTTGACAAATTATGGTTTTTATTATTAAGTTACTTCTTTAACTCTAATAGTATTTATTGTCTTAAAGTCAATTTTACCTGATAATATCAGCTATATCACATCTTAGAGGGAGAGAAGAAGAATTATTGTTTGTTTGGTATCTTTTACTTCCAACTTCCCTCTAGTCAGCATAAATTAGTTGTGTTTTATATTATTATCCAGTTTGATGATCTTCATCTTTTGAATGTTGACACAGATTTAATATAATTACTAATATTTTTCAGTTTAATCTTACCATTCTATTTATGCCACTTAGTTCAGTTTTTGTCTTTTTAACATATTATACATTTTCTAATTTATATTTTTCTTCTTTTATATTGGTTACCATATAAACTATAACATACAACCTTGATTATCAAAGACTAATGTTATTTAGTTCTTTTACTTTCCACTTACAGAAAAGAAGGACATCAGAATATTCTGATTCCTTTACCTTTTCCCTGACTTCTATGCTGCTGTGTTGTGTATTTTAATTCTGGGTAAATTTTAAACCACTTAATATTATCCCCCTAAATCAGAAATTAATTCATTCATGTAAATGTTTTTGTCATTGAAAAAAAAGTAAGTGAAGTTAACTTTCAAAAGAAGAAATTAGAAAAGAACAACTAAAATACAACTTAAAGTAGGAGGAAGGAAATAATAAAGATTAAAAACCTTAAAGACTTTTAAGAGAAAGAAAAAATGGATCATAAATTCAAGAATGGATTTTTAAGAAAATCCCAATAAATTGATCAAAGCCTTGATAAATCTACTTAAAAAAATGAAAAGAAAATACAAAAGTTGAAAAGGGGTGTATCAACAGATATATAACTGTAAACACTTAAAGTGAATAATATGAACAACTTTGCTAATCTATGGGTTTGAATCTGTCCATGACACAGCTATGTAAAAAATATGACATTATCTTTCTGTAATTCATCCAATTTTATTTTTGAAACCCTAAGTCATTGGCCTAGGACAAAAACCTGATCTCAGTCAGTATGGAGTTTCCTACTTTTAGTCTCATTTGAGGTGTATGAGGGGAGATCTCTATGTTACCAGGGAAGGGCAGGGAAAACGTACTCGTACTCCCCTTGTCCTAAATGTTATCTGTTCATACAGGAATCTTCTGAGACATCCATCATCCTCTCTGGTCCACAGTCATTGATCCACACCATTTGCCACTGAGATGTCATCATTTCTGATTGCCTATTTCTTCAGGTATGGTGTTGTGCTCTCACTGTAATGACATGTCACATATAGGAGAATGTACATAATGCCTAATTCAATGTAAATGCTGTGTAAATAGTTATTATATTGTTTAGGGAACAGAGACAAGGAAAAAAGTCTGTACATTTTCAGTACAGATACACCAGATGGGTCAAAAGTTTACATGTAAAGAAATGAAAGCCACAAAAGAATTGCAAGAAACTATTGTGAGGTTTTGAAAATCATAATAATAGATGGAGAGAAAATCCTTTCTGTGTATGTCACAAGATTGAAAAACCAGGAAGTTAATATTGATATGTTAAATCAAACATATATGTAACCTGGGTTCAGAAACTCAACAGTCTCACTTATAGGTGTATTCTCCACCATTTCTACACCAATATACCTGTAAAAGAAGTGCATGGCAATGTTGTTTATAATTGCTTTTTTTAATAAAAGGAATCCATCAACAACAGAATAAATAGGTGTATAGTTAAGAATTTAACTATAGTATAGGTGTATAGTTAAGAATTTAACCTTGCCCAAAGAAGTCTGACCTTTGGGAGATAATCAATAAACCTGTAAAATATTGTACCCAATATGAGTATATTTGTTTGCAAGTAACTTTGGAACTTGTGATCTAGATAGTCTTAACACTGTGATTTAGCATGGAGGATAATCAATAAGAAAACACCCTACAATCTAATAGATAAATATGCAGAAGATATGATCATATAACTCACAAAAAGAGGAAAATATAAATGGCTCTTAATTTTATAAAAGTATGCTCAAACTTATTCATAATAAGAGAAGTATAGATTTAAATTTAATTGGAGAGATTGTTTTTCACCATCAGATTAAAGATTCAAGTTTGTTATTAAGCTTGGTAAAGGTTTAGGGGAGTAGGTACTCTCTCTACTGGTGAGGAAGAAAATTGTTAAAGCTTCAGTAAAAGGCAATTTGACAATACCTATTAAAATTAGAAATATATTTACTCATTACTCCCAAGTTCTACATGTAGTAATTTATTCTGTAGTTATTTTCACACACATATGAAAAGATATGTTTATAGGTTATTTGTAGCAATATGACTTTTTTAAAATCTCCATTTATGATAGACAATTTGATACATTACAATCACAAAAATATGTGGGAATTCTTTGCTTACTGATTAGAATGGCCTTCAACTATGTCTGTACAGAATGGTATATAAAATATGTTACCATTTGTGGAAATAGTGGTGGTGAAGGTAAGAACATATCTTCTTATTAGCCTATAAGTGCTTATAAATATCTTTAGAAAGATATGCAAAACATTTGTAAGACTTGTTATCTTTGAGAAATGTTTTGACTTGAGTGTCTGTGTCCCCCTTCAATTTTTTTTATTTGTTTTAATTAGTTATACATGGCGGTAAAATGCATTTGGACATATTGTACACAAATAGAGCACAACTTCTCATTCCTCTGGCTGTCCCCAAAATTTTTATGTTGAAGTCTTTATCCCCAATGTGATGGTATTAGGAGGTGGGCCTTTGGGAGGTGATTGGATTTAGATGAGGTTACAGGGGTGGAACCCTTCTGGTGGGATTAATGCCTGTAGGAGGAAGAGACACCAGAGCTTTCTCTTTCTATTCTGTGAAGATACCATGCCGCAGTCTGGCTGGGCACAATTCAGGAGCCACTTGTCAAAAGAAAGGAACTTTATTTTTAGAACTACACACGCCAAACAAAACAGCTCCTTAGGAAAAACCTTCAGAGCCCAGCTGCCACCACCGGCTTCCCACAAGCCTCTCCACCTCCCCCACTCCTCCTGCTCTTGAGGCTGATTGGCTGGATCGCGTGGGCGGAGCCAAAAAGTCCCCCAATGAGCAGCTCCGTGGTCTAAAAGGGCAGGGAAACAGCCCAATGAGCATCACTGCAGAGGAGCCAATCAGTTGGCAGCTAGAAGTTGCTGGGGCCGCTGTGCGAATCATCAGCTGGCAGCTGGAAGTTTGCTGGGGCCCCTTTGGCTGTGGCTCTCAACAATACCATAAAAGAGGTAGCCTGTAAGCAAAAAGTGGTCCCTCACCAGACATGAGAGCTACTAACACTTCAATCTTGGACTTCCTAGCTTCTAGAAATGTGAGAAATAAATTCTGTTGTGGTATTTTGTTATAGCAGTTTTGGGTGACTAATACAGGGAAAATTTTCATGAATGGGTGACAGATGAAAAGGAAACCTTTTACCTTTAAATTTTTAAATTATGGTGAATGTAATCACTATCCAAAAATAAACGGGGCTGGAGTTGTGGCTCAGTGGTAGAGCACTTTTCTATCATGTGTGAGGCCCTGGGCTCAATCCTTAGCACCACATATAAATAAATAAAATAAAGGTCCATTAACAACTATAAAAAACTTTAAAAATAAATAAATATGGTCTATTTTTGTAATTTAATTACTCATTGATATATTTTCATTTTTAGGATAAAAGATAACATCAAGAAAGAGAAAAAGAAGGAAAAAAGGGGAAACGATTACATATGTCATCCTTTTAAGGTATCATATAGTTTTAGAAGATTATGATGTAATACTTTTGATCATTGGTTTGTATTTTCAATCAGTTTGGTTTGTCAAGATCATAATCACAGTGTCCATGGTGTTAAAGAGAAAATTATGTGTATTATTTTTTCTTGTTAGTTTTATCTACAATATATAGATATTTTAAAATTTAGGTTTACATTGTCATCTCTTAAATATCTGTATTAAGATAAATAGAGTGGACTTGTGTACTCCAAAACAGCAAAAAGACCTATTGCATTATTTTCAATCCATGTACCTTCAAAGAGTAATATTCACTGAACAGTTACCTACTTTTAAATTTTATTTTTTTAAAAAAATATATGTAACATAGCTTCATGTAATGTCCTTGGAATCATTTAGTCTAGTTAAAATACAGAATTACTTAGAAAAGAAACCTATTGAAAAATTTAAAATAACTATCAAAATAAATATGATAAAAATGACAACATTGGTTTTCATCTTATATTTTATCTTGTGTATAATATAGTTGGGGTAATATGCACTCTTCCAAATCAGGTGCTTATAGATACATTAAGAAATTATTTTAGCTTGTTAAACCTGGTATCCAGACTTGAACACTTCATATTTGTAACTGTGACTATATTTCTGTTTGTATTTGTCCAAACTTTTCTACATGTTCCAAAAAGGCAGAGACTTCTAGAGCATAAATGCTGTACAGTTCTCTTGAGACCCAGAACAATGATTAGTCTGTTTCAAAGTAGTAAACCTTGTAAGCCTCCCCAAAAGGAGACAATGGTGTTTGAGTCAAACATCAAAAGATGAATGGATTTTAGTTGACAGGAAAAAATGGTAAGAGCATTCCAGGCTGAGGGCAAAGCATTAGCCAAGGCAAGAGGAGCAAAAGTCTATTTTGGATCAGGAAATTTGTAGATGAAACTACAAGGTGTAAGAGATGGCATGTAATAAATGAGACCAGAGTAAAGTTTTGGGACTAGTTTGGATTTTATTCTGTGGGCAGCAGGAACATTTGAACACTGAAAACAGAAAAAAAAATGACATTCTCTAATCTCTTATCTAGAAAGATATGTCAATATCAGAATGATTTGGAAGTAATAACCTACAAAATGTAGTTGTGCCTTAATGAAGAAGAGATATAGTAATACAGCCAATTATAGATCAAACTAAAGACAGTGACTATGGGGTTGATAAGGGAAGAACAAATGGAAGAAATACTGTGTATGACCTGGTATTTGGATATGGAAAGTTTGGAAGACAGTTTTGTAAAAATTCATTGTTTTAATGGAAGAAATCTTATTAAAGGGGCATCCCAAATGTTTTTTAAAGAGTTTTTTCTTTTTTAAAAAAATTATTTATTTGTTGTAATTTGTTATACATGACAGTAGAATGCATTTCAATTCATAATATACATAGGAGCATAATTTTTCATGTCTCTGATTATACACAAAGTATAATCACACCATTGTGTCTTCATACATGTACTTAGGGTAATGATGTCCATCTCATCTCACCATTTTTCCAACCCCCATGCCCCCTCCCTTTCCCTGCCTCCCCTTTGCCCTTTCTAAAGTTCCTCCCTTTCTCCCATGCTCCCCACTGATCCGCATTATGGATCAACATCCACATATCAGAGAAAACATTCAGCCTTTTGTTTTGGGGGATTGGCTTACTTCACTTAGCATGATATTCTCCAACTCCATCCATTTCCCTGCAAATGCCATAATTTTATTCTCTTTTAATGCTGAGTAGTATTACATTTTATATATATACCACATTTTCTTTATCTATTCATCTATTGAAGGACATCTAGGTTGGTTCCACAATTTAGCTATTGTGAATTGTGCTGCTATAAACATTGATGTGGCTGTGTCACTGTAGTATGCTGTTTTTAAGTCCTTTGGGTATAAACCAAGGAATGGGATATAGCTGGGTCAAATGGTGTTTACATTCCAAGTTTTCCAAGGAATCTCCATACTGCTTTCCAGATTGGTTGTACCAATTTGCAGTCCCACCAGCAATGTATTAGTGTACCTTTTCCCCACATTCTTGTCAACCCTTATTGTTGTTTGTATTCTTAATAGTGGCCATTATGACTGGTGTGAGATAAAAATCTTAGAAGTTTTGATTTGCATTTCTCTAATTGCTAGAGATGTTGAACATTTTTTCATATATTTGTTGATGTGATTATACATCTTCTTCTGAGAAGTGTCTATTCAATTCCTTGGCCCATTTATTGATTGGGTTATTTATTTTTTTGGTGTTAAGATTTTGAGTTCCTTTTTCCCCCCATTGATTTTAATATTTTATGAGTGGTTTCTGAAGATGGGGTAAGTTTCTTTTATGAGAACATTTATCCTACCTTAATTTTGTTTTTATTTATTTATTTATTTATTTATTTATATTTGTTATATATAACAGAAGAAGCATTTCAATTCATATTATGTGTATAGAGCATAATTTTTCATTTGTCTGGTTGTACACAAAGTAGAGTCATACCATTCTTGCCTTCATATATGTACTTAGGATAATGGTGTTCATCTCATTCCACCATCTTTCCTACCCCCATGCCCAAGATTTTTGAGTTCTTTATATATCCTAGAGATTAGTGCTCTATCTGATGTGCATGTGGTGAAAATTTGCTCCCATTCTGTAGGTTCTCTATTCACTTCACTGATTGTTTCTATTGCTGAGAAGAAGCTTTTTAGTTTGAATCCATCCCATTTATTGATTCTTGGTTTTATTTATTGTACTATAGAGTCTTATTAAGGAAGTTGGGGCCTAATCTGACATAATGAATATTTGGGCCTACTTTTTCTTCTATTAGGCACATGATAATATAATGACATGATGAATATTTGGGCCTACTTTTTCTCCTATTTCTTCTATCTGGTTTAATTCCTAGGTCCTTGATACACTTTGAGTTGAGTTTTGTGCATGGTAAGAGATAGGGACTTAATTTTATTTTGTTGCATATGGAGTTCCAGTTTTCCCAGAACCATTTGTTGAAGGGGTTATTTTTTCTCCAATATAGGTTTTTGGCACCTTTGTCTATATGAGATAACTGTATTTTTGTGCATGTGTCTCAGTGTCCTCTACTCTGTACCATTGGTCTACAAGTCTATTTTGGTGCCAGTACCATGCTGTTTTGTTACTATTGTTTTGTAGTATAGTTTAAGTTCTAGTATAGTAATGCCACTTGCTTCACTCTTCTTGCTAAGGATTACTATTCTGAGCTTCTTATTTTTTCAGATGAAGTTCATGACTGCTTTTTCTATTTCTATGAGAAATGTCATTGGGATTTTGATTAGAATTGTATTAAATCTGTAGAGAGCTTTTGGTAGTATGGTCATTTTGACAATATTCATTCTACCTATCCAAGAACAAGGGAGATATTTTCATCTTCTAAGGTCTTCTTTAATTTCTTTCTTTAGTGTTCTGTACTTTTCATTGTAGAGGTCTTTTTCCTCTTTTGTTAAATCCCAAGTATTTTTTTTTGAGACTATTATAAATTGGGTATAATTTTCCTAGTTTCTCTTTCAGAGGATTTGTTACTGGTATACAAAAATGCCTTTGATTTGTAGGTGTTTATTTTATATCCTGCTACTTTGCTTGAATTAATTTATTAGTTCTAGAAGTTTTCTGGTGGAATTTTTTGGCTTCTCTAGGTATGGAATCATGTCCTTGGTTAATAGGAAAAGATCACTATCAGTATCCCTTTAATTTCTTTTGTCTGTCTAATTGCTCTGGCTAGAGTTTCAAGAACTATGTTAAATAGAAGTGGTAAAAGAGGGCATCCCTGTCTTGTTCCAGTTTTTAGAGGTAATGCTTTCAGGTTTTCTCCATTTAGAATAATGTTTGCCTTGGGCTTAGCATAGATGGCTCTTGCAATATTGAAATGTTTCTGTTATCCCTCATTTTTCTAGTGTTTTGAACATGAAGGGGTGCTGCATTTTGTTGAATGCTTTTTCTTCATTGATTGAGATGAGCATATGATTCTTATATTTAAATCTACTGATGTGATAAATTACATTTATTGATTTCCATATGTTGAATCAACATCCCTGGGATGAACCTCACTTAATCATGGTGCACTATCTTTTTGACATGCTTTTATATTCAGTTTGACAGAATTTTATTGAGAATTTTTGCATCTATATTCATTAGAAATATTGGTCTGAAGTTTTCTTTCTTTGATGTTTTAGAATCAGCATGATATTGGCCTCATAAAATGAGTTTGGAAGTGTTCCCTCTTTTTCTATTTCATTAAATAATGAAAAAAAATTTGAAGAGTATTAGTATTAGTTCTCCTTTGAAGGTCTTATAGAACTCAGCTGTGTATCCACCTGGTCCTGGGCTTTTCTTGGTTGTTAGGTTTCTGATAGCATCTTCTATTTTATTGCTTAAAATTGATCTGTTTAAATTGTGTATATCATCTTGATTCAGTTTGGGCAAATCATAGGACTCTAGAAATTTGTCAATGCCTTCAATATTTTCTACTTTATTGGAGTACAAATTTTCAAAATAATTTGTAATTATCTTCTGTATTTCTGTAGTGTCCATTGTGATATTTCCTTTTTCATCATGGATATTAGTAATCTGAGTTTTCTCTCTCCTTCTCTTCATTAGCACAGCTAAGGGTTTATCAATGTTTTTTATTTTTTTCAAAAAACCAAATTTTTTGTCAATTTTTTTAGTTGTTTCAATTTCATTTATTTCAGCTCTGATTTTAATTATTTCCTGTCTTCTGCTGCTTTTGGTGTCAATTTGTTCTTCTTTTTCTAGGGCTTTGAGATGTAATGTTAGGTCATTTATTTGTTGACTTTTTCTTCTTTTAAAGAATAAACTCCATGCAATGAACTTTCCTCTTAGTACTGCCTTCAGAGTGTCCAAGAGATTTTATATGTTGTATCAATGTTCTTATTTACCTCTAAGAATTTTTTAATCTCCTCTTTGATGTCTTTTGCAACCCATTGTTCATTCAATAACATATTATTTAG